ATCCAGCTATTTCAACCTCTTGAGGTGGTGAGGTGCCCTCTAGCTGTTCATGGCGTGTTCCATAGTCTCGGTAACTTGATGTGTTGACGTGAAGAGTCCAAGCTTACCTTGACTACCACTGTGCTTGAGTGATTTAATTTAAAGCAATGGGCCATCTTTGACTGTTTTTTTTAGAAGTGTCAGTTCTCCAAGAAAGCGTGACGGTTTTTAATGTGGTCTTTTGGGAAAAAGTGTACAGTGTGTGTTACTGTGTTGGTCACATAGAAACAGCTGGTATATAAAATTTGTCACTCCAGAGAGTAATTTAGATGAGGATGAATGCCATCTGTGAAGTGACACAGAAGTGGCTGGAAATGCGCCAGCTTTACGCTTGGTGGGCCACTGAAGTGGAGTTGTGTTCGACAGGTCAGCAGAATCGGAGTATTTTACTTTGTGAATGTCTACTTTTCTGTAGTTTATTTCAGCACAGGATAAGTACTACACGTATGAACTCCTGTGGGTGTGAAAGCCCCAACATTTCATGTGTTCTAGTTTTCAGTTGTGGAGCAGGTTGCCAGATTAGCTTGAAACAGTGCAGCTGTGTTGTCTAGTTCTAGATGCTAGACACCCAGAATGAGTCAAGAAGGACAGATACCAAGGTGTTGGCGGTGCCAGCTGCTTCTGGGAGCTCGGGAGAGCCTGGTTCCTGCTCTTTCTGTCTGGAAGCGGCTGGTCCTCACTGTTTGTGCGGCTGCTTCTGTTCTCACTGCTTTCCCCTATCTCCTTACAAGGATGCCAGTGTTCACACTTAGGACTCACACAAATCGTCCACACAGCCCTCTCATATCAAAACCTTTGACTCTGTCATTTCTGGCAACATCCCCAGTTTCAGGGACTCTTTGAGGGTCAATATCGAGCTCACCACAATGCTAAATGATGTATTGGTGTTTCAGTACATAAAACAATTCTAACCAGGATCTACTAACCATGTTTCACTTAAAAGAGGGGTATCATCTTACACTCTAATATGATGCAGACATTTGTATTTGGCTTTTAATTGGCCATTTTCTTTTGCTAATTGTGTCATTAATGGTTTTCTAAAAGTAATTCTTTAATTTTATGACATCAATTAAACACCAGATTGAAATAGAAAACAATTATAGTAAGTCGTTAGGAAGTTTTGGCTTCATGATGATTTTCCTACTTTTTAATGCTTAAGAAACTTACTTGGTGGTATTTTTATACATGCAGAATTGCTGTAAACATAAAAAGAGCCCTGAAGGCCTCTCTATATAGCCTCAGCCTCACCCCACATTGGCATTATACCCTGATTACTGCATTGTTTCTCCTTTTTTTGTCTTTCCTTCATTTTTTATTAAAGCCTTTGAAAATCAAGTAACATATACCATGCCACCCTCTTATATAAACCGCTCAGCAGGTTTTGTTTTGTTTTTTAATAAGATCCCCAGTCTTCACCATGTTCCAATTCCAGGAACTTTCGCCACCCCCAAAGCCTGTGTACGTGAGCACGTTCCTCCTCTCTGTCTGGCTGGATGTGACTTCTTTCACTTAGCACAGTGCTTTCAGGCCGGCCTGTGTTTTCACAGAAGCCCAGGACAGAATGAGAGTATGGCCGAGCCGCACTCTGTTGGGTGGATATGCTGCGTGTCCTCCATTAACCAGCTGACAAACAGTCTCTGCTTTTGTCCTCCTGCAGATAATGCTGCAGTGAACATTCACCTAACGAGTTTTTATACGGAAATGGATTTCTTCAGTTCTCTTGGCAACATCTAGATACAGCATTTTTGGTTATATGGTAACTTGGTTTTGTGGCCCCACGTGGGATACTCATTTTTATTTTTTTCCCTTATCTTTAAGACCAGGGCAGCAGTGAGGGTTGGGGGTGAGTGTGGGGAGTGTTTTTCTCAATTTGAGATGTCCCTGCAGATATTCGGGTTGAGGATAATGTGGTTAAAGCCTGCAGTGGAGTTTCTGTCTGGCCCCCGAGCATGTGATGCTGAGGTGAGCTGACCTGCAGGGGAGCACTTTTCTTGGTGTTCAGTGCTTTCGATGCGTTTAGCTTCTCCTCTGTGCTGGGGACATTGTTGGCAGCTTTAGGTGTTTTATGAGGTAGGGATGTTTCCAATTGGTTTACAAGGATCACCCGGAATCCCTGTTTGTGCTTTTTCATCTTTAAGAAGGTAAAGGAGAGGACCAGTGCGATGGCTTAGCAGGCCCTTGCTGCCAAGCCTGGTGGCCTGAATTTGACCCCACAGTGGAAGGACGGAACAGACTCCTGCAAGTTGTCCTCTGAGCTTCATTTATGTGTCATGGTATGCAGGCATGCGTGTGCACAGCCAGGTTACACAGAGACACCCTCTCCTGAAAAACAGAACAAAACAAAAACCCCTTAGAGATGATTTAATGACTTAAATAAAAGAGAGGCCATTTCCAGCCACAGGGAAACATAAAGTATAAAGGATCTGTGGCTCAAGCTCAGAGAGTTAAAGTTCATGCCAGAGGCTCTGCACATTGACGTGCTGGGAGTTCAGCCCGTAAGCATAACACCAACCCAATGATTTTATTATCTCACTCTAGGGATTGTCAAGTAGAGAACTAACTAAAGCTGTGCATACTATATAAATTTCTACGCTAAAAATTGTCATCTTTGGCATTTTAAGGACTTTTATTACATTATGTGCTTTGCCTGAATGTATGTCTGGGCACACATGTGTGAAGTGTAGTGGAGGCCAGAAGAGGGAGTCAGATCCCCTAGAGCTGGAGTTTCAGGTGGTTGTGAGCTGCCATGTGGGTGCTGGCAATTAAACAGCCGTGCTCTTAACCACTGGGGCCATCCCGCCAGCCTTTTGGATTTCCTTCTTAAAACTTTACGTGTGTGTGTGTGTGTGTGTGTGTGTGTGTGTGTGTGTGTGCAGGGATGTGGTTGTGTATGTGTCCAGGGGCAGGTTCGTATGTGTATCTGTGTATCTGTTTCTGTGGGCAGGAGTGTATATATGTGTGTGTGGCAGGAATGTATGTATATCTGTGTATCTTTATAGGCAGGAGTGTATGTATGTAGGTGTATGTGTGTGTATTTCTGTTTGTCTGTATATATGTATGTATCTAGGTAGGTGTATGTGTTTTAGTGTTTGTGTCTGGGCAGGATTATATGTATGTAGGTGTGTGTGTGTATGTGTGTGTATTTGTGTTTGTGTGTCTGGGCAGGAGTATATTATGTAGGTGTGTGTGTCTATAGACAGAAGTGTATGTGTGTAGGTGTGCCACAGTGCTCCTGTGGAAGTCAGTGGATAGCTTGTTTCCTTCTACTGTCCTGGGTCAGGGGGTCAAATGCAGGCATCAGGCTTCCTGCAGGTGCTTTACTCTGAGACTCCTGTGAGCCTGACCTCAGGTTTACTTTTGTGCTGTCCTTTTGTGGCCAGGCTGGCCTTGAACCTGTGACTGTGTGTGTACCACTTGACCACTAGACTTGTTAAAAATTACTTTAGGCACTTGAAAAGATTTGTGGGGAAAGTGAACTGAAGTAAAATTAACTTTTTTGTTTGTTGAGACAAGGTTTCTCTCTGTAGCCTTGGCAGTCCTGGACTCCTTTGTAGACCAGGCTGCCCTTGAACTCACAGAGATCTGCCTGTTTCTGCCTACCCGTGCTCAACTGAGCTAAACACTATCTCAGAGACTTTCACACAGTCAAATGTCCCCAGCTTTGCTTTTGATTGGCTGCTGGGCACAGTGGGCTCACTGCAGTTCAGTGTCCATTGTTCTGTCTCTGTCACAGCGCTGGACTTTACTAATGTGGACTGTTAACCGTGGCTTAGCTTGAGCTTTGTGAGGCCAGTGTGAGTCTGTGTGTGTGTCTGTGGGCAGGAGTGTGTGTGAACAGGTTACGTTGGGTAAGTCTGGACTGGACCTGCTCTCAGTGTATATTCCGGGTGTGTGCAGGCTCTGGGGGGGGGTTGCTGGGCTTTTTTCCTTTGGCTGTCCATGCCAAGTTCACCTTGTGCACACAACGCTTGCCATTCATGTCCCAGGGTCTTTCTTCACTAGTTTCTCTCCTGCTCTCTGCTGTGAATTCATGTTTTCCCAGCCTCCCTTTCTGGGCCTTTAGTAAGAAAGGAAGGTGTGGGGCCACAGCTTGAGGGTTTGTTTCTGATCTTGAAGTGACTTTTGTCTGGTGTTAGAAGATAATTTATACACACACATCATCTCTGAGAGCACATGTAAAATTTTGTTTAGAAATGCCCTGGATCCAGCCTGGCAGTGGTGGTGCACTCCTTTAGTCCCAGCACTTGGGAGGCAGAGGCAGGCAGATCTCTATAAATTCAAGGCCAACCTGGTCTACAGAGTGAGTTCCAGGACAGCCAAGGCTACACAGAGAAACTCGGTCTTGAAGAACAAACAAACAAAACAATAAAACAAAAAACAAAAACAATAAAAAGAAAGAAAGGAAAGAAGAAAGAGAGAGAGAGAAAGAAAGTAAGTAAGAAAGAAAGAGAAAGAAATGGCACATGTCATTTCTGTGAAATGGTGTGGAGCCAAGCATGCTGTCAGTGATAAGGCAGTAGTAGAAGCAGGAGGAGTAATTGGGACCCAGACATTCAGAGAGAAGCACAGCAAGGCCTGGCAGCTGTCAGGGAATAGACTCCCCTGCTTCCTGTTGTGCACCCTGCTGTCCTCACATTTCCGATGTGGGCTGCACTGTTGTCTCATAATAAGTATTTGTGGAACTAGTGATTTTCTTCCAGTCACATTATTTGATGTTTTAAAAGAACATATTACTGTGTAGCACAGACTGGCCTTACACTCGTGTAAGCTCTAGCCTCTTGAGTGCTGGGGTAGGGAATGGACTACCATACTTGACACTGGGTTTTAGTTACAGTTCTAAGTTTTACGTATATAGAAACTGTAAAACACTTACTATACTTGATAAATCTGGTAAAATGTTTGATTGTTTAGATTTGTTATTGGAAGTAAGAGGGTTGAATGTCTCTTTTTCTTTATTCTAGAGACATATTATTACATTTCTCCATTAGTCTGTGCCTTTTTCCTGGCTCTGACACCTATCTGGATTATAATAGCTGCCAAACATCCAGCCACCAGGACAGTGCTCCACTCGGGCTGGGAGCCCGTCATAACAGCCATGGTCATAAGCAGGTGAGTGCCGGCGTGGGGGGCACTACATGAGTGACGTAGGCATGCGCACACTAAACAATGAGGCGTCAGCTAGATGAATCCTAGAGTATCCGCCTTCCAGAATAGCACTTACATTTCTGTTCCTATGGAAGGATGTTCAGGGCACGTTTGATGAAAACAGTAATCTGAAAAAGAGTAGGAATGTCCTGTTAAATGTGGTGAGCTGAGAGTCTTATGTAGTATTTGGATTTGGGTAATACAAAGATCAAATCCAGTGCGGAAGAGCTTGAGAGGCGTGGAGGGCGACAGCTACGCTTCTGGTCTCAAGACCAGCCACGCGTGTAGGGGGGCAGGGGATAAGGACAGTGTCCCTAAGAATCAAAAAACAGCTTTGTGGCATTGATTAATGGTTGCTTCCTGGGTTTGGTGTCTTGAGAAGGGCTCGCCATGACTGACAGGATGCAGATAGAAGGGGCTTGTGGAAGCTGTGGGGTGTGTCTTCATGTGCCATAGGAGGCATTCACTCAATACAGGTCATATATGTGGCACTGGAACTGGGCCAGCATAGGCTTGTTACTTAGAAACAGATGCAGCCAGGCATGATGGCTCACGCCTGTAACCCCGGCACTCTGAGAGGCAGAGGCAGGTGGATCTCTGTAAGCTCAAGGCCAGCCTGGTCTACAAAATGATTCTAGGACAGCCAAAGCTACACAGAAAAACCCTGTCTCTAAAAATCAATAAAACAAAACAAAACCCATCTAATTACTAGTGCTTGGAATGGGGCTAGGGACACCTGTCAGGTGATGTCATAGCTTTTGCTCTGCTGTTTGAACTATCAAATCCATCCCATGACAGCCTGTGGCTCATTTTGATGTAGATAGATGATTTGGTGTTGGGACTGGCAGTGTCTTATACACCCCAGCCCGAAGGTAACCAGCTAATAAAGGCTTCAGAAACTTAAAACAAGCCTCTAAGTTCCACTGAGACACTGAAAGTGTATGGCTTGCCACTGTGTTACATTAAAACCACCATCTATTTCCTGGAATTCTCAAGCTCAGCTTTCTGCTGCTGCAGCTCTCTGTGGGATATGGTTATAATCCATCTAGTTTTAGCACAGTAGAAACCACCCTTTAATGCCTGCTTACTTCAAAGATGAAAAGACACTGCTTTTACAGTTAGTTGTTAAATTAAAGAGTGATAGATGATGTGACTCAAAAAATAGTATGGTCTCAGCACCTGAGAGGCTGAGGCAGGTATAGCTTTAGGAGGTTGAGGCTAGCCTGGTCTACTAGGAAGCTCCAGGCCAGCAAAGGCTATATTAAGACACCATGTCTCAAAACAAAACAAAACAAAACAAAACAAAAAATACTATGTGCAGAAGACTATGAAGGAACCATTAATCCTATTGTTTTAAACCGTAGAAATAGTTACTGGTGCCTTGCAGGTCTTTCTAGATAGTTCAGTGGACTGAACATATGTATAATTTGGGAATTGTGATACATACCTATAATTCCAGCACTTGAGAGGCTGGGGCAGGAGGGTTGCCATAAATCCAGGATAATGCAGGTAACAAATTCCTGTTCGCCTGGGGTGTGTGTGTGAATAAATAAATACCCCCCACAAAACTAACACACTCCTAACTGATGGTTCTGGTGTCTGGTATTTATGTATGATGCGGTGCGTGTCGTCTGCGTGTGTCCTGGGCTATGCCCAGGTATGCGCCTGTGGAGGCCAGAAGGCATCACCAGCGGTCTGCGTGTCTTCTTCCACTGCGCCTTATTTTTTTCCTATCCTACTTTTTCATGCGGCTCTCACCAAGTCTGGAGAACACTGGCCAGTGAGCCCCCGAGAGCCTTCTGTGTCTGCCCCCGCTGCACATCTACAGTTCCCTCCTTACCTGACTTTTCTGTGGGTGCGGGCCTCTGAAGTCAGGCTCTGTGCTCATGTTGCCAGTCCTCGCCTCTCCTGCCCCCACAGCCATGCTTTAGTTCTAGATTCCTACTGTTAACATTGGTTTCTGCCTTGAACATTCCTTTTTTTTTTTTTTTTTTTTTTTTTTGAGGCCTGATTTTTACATTGTACAAACATTGAACTATCCAAAGTGGAGGTATGTGAAGGTCAGAGGAACTTGAGGTCCGTTTTCGTTCCTCTGCCCTAATATGTGATTTTCTTTATTCCAGCATTGGGGGCCTTATTCTGGACACTACCGTATCCGACCCGAACCTGGTTGGGATCGTTGTTTACACACCGGTTATCAATGGTAAGACTTGAAGGCCCTGCTTGGTGGTGTGTGTCTTAGAGACATACACGTGTCTTCCTACTCCATCCACTTCTTTCTTCAAACTCAAGATGTAACTCAGAGTGGAAATTATCTTCCCTGGTCTCAGGGACAAACACTTTTTGGGAAAGAACGGTTTCTCAATAATTTTTGTTACATGTTGGTTTTACAGACACACCCAGCTTTAGAAAATTATTTATTTTTATTTCATGTGCATTGGTATTTTGTCTGCATGTATATCCGTGTGAGGGTGTCATATCTGTGTAAGGGTAGCAGTCATGGGTGCTGGGAATTGAACCTAGGTCCTCTGGAAAAGCAGCCAGTGCTCTTAACCACTGAGCCATCTCTCCAGGCCCCAGACCTAACTTTTAAGGCTAGTATGACATAATACAGTATTTCAGCTCTTAGTTGTCCTTTCCCATTTGTTTACCTGGTGGTTTTGGTTTTGTTTGTTTTTGTTCTTTTAAGCCCTGGCTGGCCTCTTCCTCCTGAGTGCTGAGATTAAAGGCTTGCACCACCACATCCAGCTTTTTAAAAAAGATTTTTAAATTTTAATTATGAGAATATGTGTGTGGGTATGTGCGTGTGAGCACAGGTGCCAGCAGAGGCCACAGACACAGGATTTCAGTGGTGCTTTCTAAAAGTGGCTGTAACCTGCCTGATGGTAATGGTGACGGTAAGTGAACTCAGGTCCTCCTGAGCAGTGCCACAGGCTCTTAGCCACTAGGCTGCTTCTCCAGCCCCTCATCTCACCTGCTGGTCTAATATTTGCTTCTGTCGATTATCTTGGAAGAAGCAGAATTAGCCAGATTTGATCATTGTCTAAATTTATTCTTTCCACTAAGACTTGCTACTCTATTGATGCCTGCAAACTCTGCCTCCTAATTTCTTTGCCAATAAGATGGAAATTATAATCTTTATATCAAATAATTATAATACATACATTAAAAATCATATTAAAATAGTATCAGAGGTTTTGTATGAATTACACTTAACACGACAGTTTAATAGCTCTCTACTGGTTTTGGGAGTGGTGATCGGTACCTTGGACTTTAGTATAGCCTAGGTTAACACAATTTAAAAGTAATTCTACCCTGGCATACCATGCATTTAGCATATACTAGTTTTTTTTTTTAAGAATTAACTTTCTATATTCACATAAAAAGTTATACAATGACATGTTCTGAAGAAGTATAATTTTAGACTTAAAATTTCAACTGACTACTGTAATTTTGTCTACCTTTCGAATGTCAAGGACAGGCTTCCTTATGAGTCTCTCTTCCAGCTGTCTGATGCCACCATTCCCCTCCTGTCATTCACCCTGAAAGTCATGGAGCCATCAGATTCTCCTGGTTCCTCCTGTCTTTGACTTAACATGATCAGATGTCCATTGTCCCCTCATAGGACCTGCTTGTTCAGTTGTGTATACAGTGGTGTGTCTGTCCACTCCAGTGTGAGGTCTTGCTCTGGGGCCATCTCATTGGAATAACAGAGTAACCTTTCCTGAGGTATTGCCTGCTCAATGCAAATTGTCACTAAGATGCTGGAATTCCATAGCATTGTTTATGTCCTGTCAGTCAGAAGATGGTCTTCTTGCTGGGTTTGTGTCACTGTCTCTCAGAACCCTTGGCACACTGTTGGACTCAAGGATCCCTTAAGAAGCACCAAACTACTACCATGCTTTCTAGAATGTCATACTGTCCTTACTAAGATTCTAGTTTTCACTACCTGAATAGCTGTGCTTTTCCTTTCTCCTATTCCTACCCTCCTCAGTGAACATTAATCAACAAACTCATTAGTGTAAGGATTATCAGATGGAGTTGTATTGAATATCATTACAGGTACCTTAAATGGAAATGACCCTTTATTCGTAAGACTTTCTTGAATCCTTTTTTTTTTCTTTCCAAGACAGGGTTTCTCTGTGTAGCCTTGGCTGTCCTAGACTCACTTTGTAGACCAGGCTGGCCTTGAACTCACAGAGTTCCACCTGCCTCTGCCTCCCTGAGGGCTGGGTTTATAGGCGTGCTCCGTCTCCGCTGGGCAACTTTCTTGAATCTTTCAGTTGCCTCACCTTACACATAAACCGGTTTAGAGCATCACCAGGGGCTCTCCTTGGAGGTCTGTGCTGTGACAGCGTGTCACTAAGTCCTTTCTGTTATGTCAACAGGTGATCCTCTCAGATGGGTATCACAGTGAGCTCACGTTAAATTCCGACTTTAGAAACAGCGCTAGTGAAGATTCCAGATTCTCAAAGAAGTACAACTTCTAGAACTGCATTTAAAAGTTTTACTAGATTTATTGATTTTATTATGTGTGTGAGTGTTTTGCCTGCATGTATGTCTGTGCACCACGTGCGTGCTTGGTGCCTACAGAGGTCAGAAGCGGAGGGCATTGAGTCTCCAGGAACTGGAGCTCCAGAGGTTTGCACACCACCATGTGGGAGCTGGAACTTGAACCCGGGTCTTCTGTAACAAGTGCTCTTAACCACTAAGTGATTTCTAGAAATATGTTTCTCTTTCCCCTTCTCCTCATAATCTAATCTTTACTGTGTATCTACCTAAGTGTCAAGTAACTATAAGTTTTTTAAGCATATTATATATAATTTTATCCTCACAGAAGTAATTATTCCAAGATTAAATATCTAATGAATTATAGTAAGTCAAAATTTAAAGCCAGATCTGCTTAATTCCCAAACCTGTAGTTTTTTTTCTTCTCTCAAAACATACAACTACTAGTTTATCTGATTTATTCAATACACAGATGCATGTGTTTAAAGCAACGCTTAACTGTGTTAATGTGACTAAAACATCGCTAAGTGTTTACATGCCTCAGAACTAAAAGCATTTTCTAAAACACATTGGTCACGCTTGCTCTGTAGGATGTTAGTAGGATTTGAGAAGTGATGAATTAGATTTGGTAGACATGAATGGAGCAGAGTTCTTGACTGTAGGATATTGTAAGCCATTCCTGTGCTGATGTCTTCTGTGGCTCTCTCTGTTTGGAACTTGTGCTGGAAGTGTTAGAAGGTCTGGACCTAACCTTCCTTCTAACCAAGACCGTGCTTGATGACCCCCACCCCCCTAGGGGCTACATGTTGTTTGTTTACATATTTACTTACTTACTAGTGGATCGCTCTGTCCTGAGGTTTGTCCTTAACCCACACTCTACTTAATTTTATATATTTTGTTAATTCTTTGAGAAAGACACAATTTTGATCATTTCCAAACACCACTTCTCTCTCAGAACCTACGCCCCATTTCTACCCTCCAGACTTCATGTTTCCTTTCTCTCTTTTTTAAAAACAAACTTATACTTTGTGCTAGGATGTGGGCATCCACTGGAACATGGTTTACCAGGAACCACACTCTTAAAGAAAAGTGGCTTTCCTACTCCACAAGTCCTTACTCTACAGAATGCCTTAGGGTTAGAGGCTCAGGAGTCGCTCCCCCTCCATGCAGGAATGTTGACTGGGTTATGTGGACCTTATGCCGGCCACCACAGCTACTGTGAGTTCATGAGGGCAGCATTCTGTCATGTCCAGAAGACATTGTTTTGATCTGAACCCTTGGTTTTTTTGTTCTTGCAATCCTCCTGCATACTCTTCTAGAGTAGTTCCCTAAGCCTTGGGGAAGGGTGGGATGTGGATTTTTCATTTGTGGCTGAATATTCCACCAAGTCTGAGTTCAGTCCCCAGGATCCATGTTGTGGAAGGAGAGAGCCGACTCCTCCCAGGTCAGAGTGTTGCTGCTGTTGTTGGCTGGGGATAAGGCATCGGTTACTTAGCCTAACACACTGGGCCCAGTAGATCCAAAACTGCCACTCTCACACCTCCCTATCCACATTAACGTCTCCCTTGTTGAGCTGCTTGTGCTGGCTGTCAGGTGCATCACTGTTGACTCATGCCTTTGTGCTTCTTCCCATGCTCCTTCGTGTGCCTACAGCACACTGAGGGGTCATTCAGACACAGCGATACCTGGTCCCCAAGGCATGGGCTTAGCAGGACTGACTGCTCTCTCTTCTGTATTTTCCTGCCACTCTTCCAGCAATTGTCTTGCAGCATCCGCTAATTTTGAAAGAGTGTCTTTTTCAGTGACTGAATAATGTCCACAGGCCCACAGTTTGGGCAGTTGTTGAATGAATAAATGTATGAGTTAAGGAATAAATTTCATTTTGCTGCAAACTACTTGTCACTGAATCAGAGGAAATTATCATGTTAGATAATACAATTTAGAATATAGAACAAATTCATAGACTTTAGAAGAAACTGTTAAGGTACGTTTAAGGAGGCAAAAGTAGAAAAAATGGCTCCTTCTGTTTCTATAAAACTTAAAGCAATGTTAGCAATGTTTCTTTCCATCTTTAATAATTTCCCCTGCTTATACCTAAAGAAACTGACTTAATAGCGATTTCTCAGTTCTTCTGTGTGTTCTGCTTCTAAACGCTTTAAATAAGAGTATTTAGGCAAGGCCTCTTTAGATGTTAAATGAAAAAGTTACAGATTCAAGAGTGAATCACTTGCAGGCAGAAGAATAGAGGGCCTGCCGTGGGCTCAGTGGGGAGAGGTGGCTCCCCCCACTCCTGGCAGCCTCGTTCAGTGCCTACAACCCTACAACCACATTGTGGAAGGAGAGAGCCGGCTCCTGCAAGCTGCCGTCTCACGTCTACCCACAAATAAATAAATAAAAATGAGGGAAGAAGAGTTGAAATAGATATCGCTCCTTAGAAGAAAGGGAGCAACCATTGCCTTGGTGGTGAAGGGGCCATGCAGGAGCGCAGCATGATTAGCAACAGGCTACAGAAGGGGAAGGTTTCCTCTTTTAGTGGAGTGTTAAAGGGAATAAGAGCATGGATCCTAGGGTGTGATATAATCCGGGGATGGTGTTATCTCCTTCGTATAAAGCCTAAAAGCATGAAAAGCTAAGCGGTGTGTTGTTTGGGAGTATGCAGTGTGAGAACATTGCACGTGTCTGGGAAACTAAGGC